TGGTGAGCGACGTTGAGTTCGACGCATCTGTTCGGAAGTGAAAAGAAGCTATGTCAGGAATATTTTTAGTGGTAAAAATTAAAATTATGATTTTTCTAATGAATTTATTTATATTAATTTTCGCTGAAAACAATATTTGGAGAATTATGGGTCTTATACAACGAAAGAGATTAGCTATGCTGCACTCAAAGCGCCTCTTTCGATATCCCTTTCGCAAATACTAAATATTTCACATTAATTTCCGTATTGGCCCAGTGGCACGTACCACAAAGCAACAAGCCGACAACGCGCTTACAACAACGCTAATTGCACTAAGCGGCTTAAGCGTTAAACGGCGCTGGCAGCGCTTCCCCTACGCGCTACGTGCAGGACTACAATTAAACCCGTGTTTGTATGTATTCACAGACATGCATGTGCATGACTCTGCTGCTTTGGGGAGCTGGAATCACCGCGGCTGATTTCAATGTTTTCACCAAAATTATATAAAATCATCGCTGGGCATATTGTTGCTGGTTAATCAGGTTGCGTCATTGCATAATTTGAGCGGTAGGAAGAAAAGTGGTTCGCGTTTGCGGACGGACATTCCATATGTAAATAAAGACCTCTCTGAACGCCGACGGTGTTTGACAAAGAGCCGCTAATGATGCCGCCGCCGGCAACTGGCTTGTTGACAAATCACGCGTGGAAAGCAGGTGCGGCAACGAGTGTGTCTGCATGACAATTAGCTTTTATGTAGCATTCCCTATGACTAGGAGTGTCATGTCACATGTCAAGCGTTAAACGCTGGCGAAATCGAGACTACTACGTGGTGACGTGTAAATATCAGCGTGTGTGGCACTAAGCCACGTTGCGCGAGCCTTACTTGTCGCCTAATAGATTTTACTGGACTGATTCAAAGCGAGTGTTGAGCATAAAGCCTACTTCTAAATTATGAAATAGTTTTAATTCGTGTCTTGCAATAAGTTGTGAATTCACATGAGCTCGATTCTATTTGTTGCAATTCCTTCCACTTAATTACGTAAGTTTTTTTATTGAATTTTATCAAATTCTATTCAATTGAACTCTATCAAATTTTATTCGATTCATTCATGTCGAGTCGATTATTTTTAACTAAAACCAATGAAATAATTATTTTCATATAATTTAGATTACTTGATATAATATTTATCCATCAAATTAAATACAAATATTTGCAATACAATTAATTCAACTTAATTCATTTCACTATAATTAATGAAATTAAATTGAAATTAAAAAAATCTTCTGATTCTATCCAGTCTAATTAAAAACTCATTTCAATTCAACTCAATTAATTTCAGCTTAATGTAATTGAGTTCAGCTTAATTTAATTTAACTTAATTAAACTTAATTCAATTCATAATTGAATATATATCAATTTATTTTTCAAATCGAATCCAAACCGATTATCAATATCAATTCAAATTCGATTACAATCAGTAAGTCTTAAGTCAGTTAAATTCAGTTCATTAATTTCAATAATATTAATTACAGTTCTTCACGTCATCCAATTTAATGGAAGTCAGTTCATTTTAATTCAATTAAAATCGCTGCAATTAAAATTGTAATATCTATTCATATACGCGAATTAGTCCTTCAGTTTTTGAGACATCGATCTGAAATTATGCACACGTCCTTTTCTTTCCAAAAGCTGGTCATTATCGATATATTATATTACCACTATAGCATATAGCTGCCATACAAACTGAATGATCGGATTTAAGTCCTTGTATGGAAATTATTTCGGCATGTACATATTACTGTCCAAATCAACTATACAATCTCCGGTGATATAGCACTCTCCACTATAGCATATAGGTAACTGCAGTTCAAACTGACCGATCAAAATCAAGTTGTTGTAAGGAATGTTTTGAATTTGGAAAAGGTATTATAGCTTCGGTGCTACCGAAGTTAGAGTATTTTTTATTTTGTTTCATTTAATTTATAACATATTTCGGTTATCTTTTGAACAAATATTTAACCTAAGCACGTCAATGATCTGAGAATAGCTGACCGTATATCGATAATTTCTTTTGGTTTGAGAAATAAGGTTCAATGACGGTTTTGGTTCGACCGAAACAAGCACCATCAAACAAAGTTAAATTGATATCAAGATTATTTTTGAATTTTAGGAGCGCACCTTTTGTATCAAACTTAAAGCCTCAAAATTATTTTTGACCGACAACTTCCGCTTAATAAATAGCTATGTAAGCAGGCAAAATTATAGGTACAGATAATCTGATTTGAGTATAATAGAGCAATACTGTGCCCTTAACCCCCCTTCCCCTCACTGGGTGCAGTAAATTATATTTTCGGACCAAAAATAGTCCCAAAAGAGGTTACAATAGTTATACACCTCGCAGTCCTCGTAACCCAGTGTTCATTTAAAGCAATGATTTTTTACCTTTTCAATAATGTTGATTATATAATAATACTTAAATTTATATCACTTATTTAATCTCATTCTTTGCTGCATATCAAAAATCGAATAGAAAATATTTGCATTGACTCTGTACGATTAGGGAAAGGGTAGTAATCAGATTGTAATAATATACCTCAAAGGCAAATCATATATGCGACAAGTGTGAGTTCGCAAAATAACTGTAAAATATGTCACGTATTAAACCGCCCACCCTCTTTAAACTTGATAGCTAAGCACTGCCTCCTGCCGCCTTATTCAATACTCATACTTATTACAGTCTATTAAACATTTCATTTTTTCTGGCAGCATTATTTCCCTACTCACTCGCTAGTGTTTGAGTGTGACTCATTAACTTAAGTGCCACTTAGGCGGGTACTTGAGTACAACCAAAGTACGGAGAAACGGGGATGCAAAAGAGCAGCGGAAGCATTGAAACGAAACCACATTTATCAAAGTAAAGGGAAGTAAGGATTAAAATATATAAGTATAACGGAAGTGGTATAAGGAAGAGTGCATTCAAGAAATTAAAAAAAAAAAAAACCAAACAAATTTCAATATCCTAAAAAACCGGCAATTTAATTAATTTCGGGCGTGCCGAAAGATAAGAGCGGTGTAAAACGTGATCTTAAGAAAGATTAGCTTGAAGTGGCGAACACTTATAGCAGAGTTATATATATGTATGCAAGAGTGATACATTCTTGAAATATATTTCTATTACGGATACAATACTTCAGGAGGATATAGGCTTAGAGAGCTGTGACTGTTTAGTAACCTCCTGTCATTCTAATCAATCGAGAGACGATAATTATATAATATGACAGCACTTTGTAAAGCAACATCTTTGACGAGCTAATACAAACACTTCTGCCGGTCTAAACTAAATAAATAGTTAAAAGTCGAGTTTCGCTAAGACACACACTGAAAGGAAAATTAGTTGGACAGTTTACTAATCAGAACTGTAAACAAATGAACTGTAAACTTCAAAGATAGTACAATAGCCTTTGGGGTTATGTGACCCTTGCACGTCGGGAAGATCGACTTTTCTCTTTCCTTTCCATTTATCTGATTCTTCATAAGTATATCAGATTTGGCCTTGATTTCTAAAATATTTACGAATATTTCTAAATTTATAATAAAAGTCGAGTGAATCGGCTTAAAGACTGTCGAGAATTATTACGTAAAGTAAAATAATTTTGTGATAGAGAATAATAAGTTCGAAAGAATGCTTGGATTTACATTTTCTTAATGACCATAACCTACCTTCCCCACCTGGCGTGCCGGGCATTGTTACATTTGCATTACCCGGTGATGAGAGTGAACGTCCCATAGAGCCATTGCCGCCGCCACGCCTTGTGCTGCCGCGTGGCCGACCACGTTTCGTGCCACGCGGATGATGACGCCGACGAATGCGTCCAATGTTGCCATAGTCACCAAAGAGTGCTGAAAAGATAGAGAATGAAAGAAAAATAAATTATATATAAGAGCAATAAAATTAATAAATTTAAAAAAATGGGAGAAATGGAACATATCAAAACTACAAGTATAAAAGATTGCTTTAAAAACATATGGTGGGATATAGATCATAACAGGGTTGTGTTTCAATTCTGATAGATGACTTATGCAGAGCAAATGGATATATCACAGACAATTAAAAACAATCATTTCAGTTGCAGCTTGCAACGGTTAATGATAGAGGCAATATGGCATGAACGTTAAGAATAATCAAGTTTTTTTGGATTAAATTGTTCGACGCGCATTTTTTAACTTCGATAATTGCTTCACCGAATGATTATAATAAATATAGCGTGAAAGTGAAAACCACATGGTCTACATGGACTACATATGTAAGTGGGTTGGTCTGGTCTTCCTAAACAACATCAAACCATACAAATAAATAATTACCGTACATAGAGGAAATTAAATATTCAGAAGGCGCCAACGGTGGAAAAACTGCCTAAAAAATTGAGCGCATGACATGGATACAGGGGTACACATTATAAAAATTAAAAATTTTCGTTTGTTGAAAGCAATTAATCTCAATTTCGAAGGACACGTGGTAGCATATAAAGAGGACATGTAGAAACGATGAAGAGTGCAAGTAAATTATATGTTTAGGCTAGAGAGTGCATATGGAGCAGAATTCGAATGAAAGGAAGAAATTATAAAAAGTCAAATGCAGCTGATACTTGGTGTAAACCAAAGTGAAAAAATTGTTTGTATTTGGAGTAGAGTGAACTTCTGTTGATGTGATATTGATTTTCTTTTTTATATGACATAAGAGTGTATATCTTATGTCACCGAAAAGCAGTCAGTCTATTTGTCTATTGTTATGACTATCAACTGTCAAGATCGATGCATTAGAGAGAGATGGGTATATGTTACGTTTACAGTTGAAGCTTTCGATGAACTTCTAGAATACTTCAACATAAAAATGTCGTCTCAGAAATCTTTTTAAAAATTAATTTCCAATAAGCTATTTACTGCGCCTCAAGCAGAAAAATTTGTTCTGTAGTCTTCAACATCTAGACAGGTGTCTTAAAAGAGAAGTATAAGATTTTCAAAAAATCTTATATATATATATTTTTTTGGCTTTAACGTCGTACAACCATTATTCAATTGTAGAGTAGTGAAAAAATTCCTGTCCAATTCGGTGTAGTGCCCAAAAGTTTGGGTCAGTTAGCTTCAGTACGTGTACTGGGAAACGCGTTTTTATCGAAACAGAATTTATGAATTCATGGAACGTTGGTACACGGAAACTATTGCACTTATCCGCTTATTTTATTTTGTATCTTTTCGTTTTATATTTTTTTCAGATAGTACGAGTTCTTAAAATCAACGTCTCTTGAAAAGGATGAAGATTGGTCATTGGCCTGTCTCATAAAATCTTTGGTTCAAGCAGCAACGTGCAAAAGCAAAAAAGAGCAAAATGCTGAGAGCTATGTCATAAATGAGAAAATATAGTAAAAAGCTTCCGAAAAGCTCATGGCTTTTATGGACGCAACAGAAAATTCGCTTCGGCGAAAACAAAACTTGTATTTTAAAATAAATATAAAATTATTTTAAAGAGGTCTCATATGTAGCCACTAATGTCTAACAACCGGCGCACTTTCCCCACTCGACGTACACACACAGTCTCATATACATAGATCATTGAGTACATTATTGACTTTTAACGGCTTTCATCAATTTTAAATATTCAAATAGCCATAAAAAGTATGCCAGCTACTTCCCAGCCGTTGGGCTACTGGTTGTGAAAATTACTGTTGTTTGCACCGCGGAAGTTGGGGTTCAATGTTCATATGTGCGCCAACCCACCGAGAGTGACTACTGCATTTCAAAAGTTTTTCAATTTTCCCCCCATTTTCTCAATTGTTTATTCGAGTGAACAATGACACACACACTCACATCTGTGCACAGTCAGCAAGTGTGTAATTGCAAGTTAACTGTAAAAATTATATAAATGCAACGACTTTGCGCATGCGACCGCGGACCACTTGCCGCGTCCCGAGGCACTGGTGCTCTTCATCAACAGTTAAACCTTTACCAGCGCGACCATTCGATGGTGCGCACGTAAACGCAAGTGGACCAAGACAGCTGAGTGGCAAGTAGCGTGCTGTAGACGAAGCTTAGAACAACTCGGCTAGGGCCAGACGCAGCTCCCTGTAGCCCAGTCCAGCAGTCATTCATTCATTTATGCAACCTTCCCAGAAGTCAAGTGCAAGTGCAAGTGCAAGCTCATCAGCGACATGAACGTCTACAACAACAGCAATAATAAAAAGAACAACAACAGAAGGTGAGCTCTGCTGCAGAGTGCAACTCATTGACCAAGTCAGTTCCGCACCACCAACAACAATAAGAGTAACAAAAGACGAAGCTATCTTGCAGCGCACTCTTCATGTCATTCATGTTGTCATTGTCTCTCTCCTCCTCTTCTGTCTACGGCGTACTCTATTTGAGCTCGCCTCAGCTTCAGCTTCAGCGACTTCTGGAACTTCACGTGCACACATTTACGCTGCTCTTCGGCGCGTTAGTCAGCTATTCGTCTCGCCTGTCCCGCGGTTCGTTAGCTCATCAGCGAAATCAGTTAGCTTGCCACACTGTTGCACATGTTTGCGTGTGCGCCACCAGATTTGCCGTTGGCTTTGGCATGCCCGAGTGACTTTTCACCAGCTCATGTCATTTATGTGCGGCAATGTGCGTATGTTTGTATGTGTGTCATTAAGTGAGTTAGTGCTTTATGACTTTAAATCATCGCATGTGACATGACAAATGTCGAGTTTGACGATTCTCCTTCTCTAAGGCGCGCATTCATATGATCATTAACGACAGCTGCTACCGCTGAGATAAATTAATTTATGCTCATTAAAACTTGTGTTAGTCACTACAATTAATTTTTAATTAATTAATTATGTATTATAATATGCGACACGATTTAAGGCGTCGGCGCTGTGTGAACTTGATTCAACACGAAGATGCGACAATTATTCCGTATGTATACAGACGAGCGGTTCCCAGTTCATACTCGGCGTATACAAAGCGCCGAAAATGACACTATCCCGAAGCCCGATCAAAACATGTAGATCCTATACATAACTTGACGACTACCATTTATTAAATTCTGACATCGAGCGTGATTAACTTAACGATGATTTCAGAGTGGAACACGAGTACTGTCTGTGGCTGTAAACCACTAACAGACTTGAACTCAATTAGTTGTAAATTCTCTTCAGAGGATAAGAGTCGCAAGTTGATCACTTCCCACCCCAGATTAAACGGGGTGAACATTTCAATTGAAGATTGAGCGCTGATCAAGTTAAACCCCGAGACGTTTTTGAATCAGTTATTACTTGAGATAAAATATAGCTGTAAAGCAAAACAACTTGGGGAAAAGGAACATTCTTAATAAAAGCTTCTACCCAGAAGTTGTACATTGAATAATTGTAAATTTCTAGAAAGTCTAGGAACTCTTGGGTTGAAGACATTTGTGTATGGTTGCAAGTCTTTTTATTTGCTTTTCGATTACTAAGTTAAAGAAGTACATAAAACAAATGTTGTTTGGAAAATCCGCTAATAATTAAGATTCCACGAATTTGACAACATTGATCAGAACTCAGACCTGCTCTACCTTTGCGAGATCAAGGCTAAAAGGCTAGAAATCACAACTTTCTACATCTATGAGAACTTATGAAAATAGAAATAAATTAAACTAATTTGTGATGGGTTCAGAGTGCCTTATCGTTACGTAATATCCAACTACAGTAGTTTTGTGGCTTCACAGAGAACTAACTATATCAGTTCAAGTGTGATCCCCATTTTGAGGATCAACCAGAAAATCTAATCAAAATAGTTCTGCAATGAAACTTCAGATCCATATTGCGATTCATTATTATTTTCTCTGTTTTGGAAAAAATTAGCTGAGGTACTACATTTAAAGTAGCTTTTTTCTTAAGTAACTTATCTAGGTGAGCTCGAGAAATGTAGAAAGTATGTGTTTTTACTTTGCATAAATTTTTTTTTTATTTAAGCGAGCATTTTTTTGTTATCGAACTATATACTAACATTCGACTCAACCTAAGCGGGTCAGAGAATTACCAAAATATTACCTTCGTCTTTTCACATAAATACCATTATAGCAGCAATAATGATCCTTGTGTTTAGAACATTCGTTGGTAAGTATTGATACAGCTTTGAATTCCGGGTACAAGTTAAAACTGTATAAGTGAGTTTCATTCAGCCTTAATGGAATGGAAGAACATGCTATCATATTCTATTGGAATAGACTTAACTACCTCTATACCTCCTGAAATTTCAATTTACAAGCCACGTAGTTGTCAATATTTTTTTTTTTTTGGATTACGTCTTTTCTTACAAGCTAGTCGAATGTTTAGTCGAATAGAATCTTACTATGCGTCTAAATTGCTTACTGATAAAACAACAAAAACCAAAGTGAATTACCACTCTAATCGGCTTTAAAGCATCAATCATTTGATTGAACTTCTAATTTGATGGTTGCTGAATACAAACACGCTAGCCGCTGCCAAGACTCAGGCACATACCTACGCACGTAAGTCAATGGGGCCGCATCAAATGCCTGAGTTTTATACGAAAATGTCTTTTCTTACGCTTATTACTTAAACGCTCCGGCGCAATGACGCACATTTTTTACGCTTTTCATATCTAAAATGCTGAAGCGGATTAAAAAATGCAATTGCCACCAGCAAACAATCGCATTGCAACGTCATCTTTGTGAGCGTTTTTGTTTCACCACCCCTCCGAATGGCGAGCGGCTGCAAGATGATCAGCTGCTGCTGGACTGAGCAAGAGATGACACAGTCTAGTGTATAGAGTGTGTGCGTTGCTTGCTGCTCGCTTAATCTTTGACATCCTTACCATTATGTTGTTGTTGTTTGTGCTCAACTTTTGTATAGTAATTTACTTAAGCTGCAAATTGATATGATCCATTAAATTTTTTATAAGATTACATATTTGTTGTTGCACGGTGTGGAATAATGGTTTTGACTATTGTGGAAATTTTCGCTTCAAAAGGAAATGCAGTTTATTTTAAGAAATTCTACTTTCACTTTTCACGCTTATGCTGGAGATATATATAAATATCGGACGTGTTAAGACCAAAAAATATTATATTGAACTATAGGCATATTCTCTTTTATTTATACTTAGAACAAAACGATTGTGAATCCAGTCAAGTTAAGTTTGATGACTATAGCTCTAAGAAATAGACAAAAAGTACCATCGACTGCATCCAGAGCGGGAGAATATCTACCATCTGCTACTCAGAGCTTAACAGATGTCTTCACCATACTATATTGTTCTATAATAGCATTAACTCGGACAGGGTCGACGATCCTAACACCAATCGAAGTACCTAAAAGTTCTTATGTTTGAAAGACCCTATGGTAGATATTTCCAGTATGTATTCACAATTTACCAAATTTTATAGAAATGAAAAATCTCTTATGATGTATAGTCCGTTTCCATAATTGAGCCAAGTAATCGGTACGAAGTCGAACTTTTATCCGTCAGCTTGGCAACGATCCTAAAAATTGTGTAAAATTTTGATTATTGAATTTTCGACTTTACCCTGAACAGCATATATTAAGTTGCTCACGAAGTTTGTATAGATATGAATAATTAGCTGAGTCGATTTAGCCATGTCCGTCTGTCAGTCTATATATACGCAAACTAGTCCGTCCGTTTTCTCCTTAAGAAGCTGCTCATTTTGTCGGAACCGCCGATATCAGATAGCTGTGCTATCAAGCTGCCAAGTGCTTGTATCAACAACTTTTTCACTTGAGTAGATTTTTTCACGAAATTTTGCATGGGTTATTGCCAAACAAGACAACGGTCCAATCTCTGAAGAAATTGTTCCGATTGGATTAGTATAGCATATGGCTGCCATACAAACTGATATATTAAAATCAAAATAAAGATTTTTTTATACTCTTTTATGCTATAAGAAATGCACCTGTTAATGTTTATTGAAGATTGTGTTATCAGAAACCATAAATTCCAAGTAATTTATAGTCAATCACATTATTTATAAATATTAAAATCAATAAGGAAATACTGGTGCATTATGGTATTATTTATGAAGCATATTTTATTTGGGATAATTATTGAAACAACAGTTTGAATTTAATGTTCGTGTCACATTGTAATTCCTTCGTACATTGCCGTTATTCGCAACATGCATACATACAAACCAACATACATATATAAATAAATTCTTGGCCAAAGCAAATTGATTATTCGTGTCTTCTGCAATTCAAAATGCAAATGCAATGCCCCAAATACCAGGCAAACATACACACGAACGCACAATCACATGCAGAGAAATGCACGATGAGCAAATCTAACAATAAAAGGTAAGCAAAGTCGCGTCAAAAATACACACACACATACAAATACATATATATGTATATATATAATTCCAAATAAATTTATGCATTTTGTACGCTTTGGTTATCCTTATCGAGGCAAAGTTGTGGTTATACATTTCAATATCAGGCTTTGTATGTGTGTTTGGTATATAAATCTGTGTGTGTATGTAAAAAGTTGGCTTGAAAGTTTTCATAGCCTACCACAATTCGATTTCTGCCATTCGCAAGGCAAGTGAAATACACAAATAACAACACCAACAACAAAACGAATAAGAATAACATAAAATATTAAATGCAAATGGCAACCGTAAAATAACAAAAGCAACGATGCGCATTTGATTTTACGAGTATTTATTGCTGTCGCCTCGCTGCCTGAATGACAGACTAGGCCATTTGGCCACTTGGCTGACTGACACAGGCAGCTTGACGGGTATATTTGTAAGCCCAGCACTTTGCTTTAGCCGCGTTTACCGTTTGATTGGCGCTACTGTTTAGCTCGCCTCTGTCGATGAGCGCGGTGTGGCAAGCTAAGCGCGTTCATAGTTCAACTTGCCACACCAAAATATATAAAGACACATATATGTGTATACTATATATGTTTTTGCTAAAAAGTTGCAATAATTTCATTTCGGTAGCGGCATTGTCATAAGTTTTATCAATATTACGGTTACAAAATACTTCGAAATAAATTCAATTCGATTGCCGCGTTCGGTGGTGCGCCTACTTTCAGTGGAGACACTAGCATTTTGAAGAAAAGACAAAAAAGACAAGGCAATCAAAAGCAACAACCAAATATGCAGAACCAAACACCTTGGTACTAATTTATTGTTGTTTTTGTTGTACAAAAAAGTGATATTTGTTGTTGCTATAATTGTAAGTTGTCTAAAACACAAATAATGCATTGCATGGATAGCGCCGCTCAATGGCTGCAATAAACATTTGGGTTTCTCCACTCCTATTTTATCTCTTGATTATTTTTCTGGAAAATTTTAGGGAAATTAAGTAACATGCATCCAAGAGAAGAGCATTTCTCTTCAACATATATGAAGTCATTTAAAATGGTGAATCTAACGTCAAAAATAAAAAAAAATTCTAACCACAAACATAGCAAAAATCTATCCTCAAAAATAAATAAAAATCGAAACTCAAAAATAATAAAAACACTATTGTCGAAATCAAAACTAGGTTTTGTAACTTTTTTTAGGAAACTATCAACATTTCTACAAAGGAGTTTGGCGAGTTCAGAGGTAAAATACCAGAAATATTATTTTGAAATTACAAAATAGAAGTGCTTGTGATCAAGAGAGTTGTTATCAATATCAACAATGGTTCTACTAACTATAATGGTCGGAATAGATATTTGCACAGAAGTATAAAATTTGCAACAATGACAGTGTTTCGAAGGCCGTTTGGATATACACTTAAGATCAAGAATGAACCGGACCCGGCACTTCACATGGACATAAAAATATGTTTACCCATCTAGTAAATAATTTTTTTATTGATTCCCAGATCAGATTTGATCTTTAGTGTAATTTACAGGAATTTGGATACACCAACAAGACAGCTTCACACTCTTTATTTTTAAGAAATCAACTATTTACTAATATTTTATCAAATAAGTAGACCATGTAATGTCATCTTGGAAATGAGCTCAGAATTGTGTTTTGATCATATCCGAAAAACCTTTAAGGTTGATACGGGACAAATGATGTAACGGCGTTAGCCTACTAACCGTTAGGTTCACTAATAAATTTTTTCTCATTGCACTATCTGAATTTTTGGGAAGCCTCCAAAATCAATAACATATTTTTTAAGGATTTAATAGCCGTTTCTAAAGCCTTATTCTTGCCAAATTTTGATACTAGCGCCATCAGACAGGTTTAAGCTTCAGAAGAAAACTCTCAATATTGGCGAAAAATCCTATGGAAGTGTCTTTGGCAGAAAATACTGCTTGAGTTTCGAGTTAAATATTATAAATTATGATAGAATCTTACATAAAGTAAGGGAGAGATTGTACTGAGTGCTTGATTGTCACTAAACATATGATTGCAGTTTATCAAAGGACAGCCTAGAAAAGTTATAAAAAATTTTAATTGTACCAATTTTTAAAAATATAAAAAAAAATATGGCCATAGAACCAACCGCCTTATAAACGTAAACTTCTCTTCGAATTTAAAATTCGGAGACACTAAATCTTCATTATTTTGATTATCTTAGCCTAAGAACGGTATGATTGTTTTAATAATATCTCTATATTATCTTATTTATTTATATAATTTGGAAATAGGTGGCAATCTTGATCATAAACATTTTTAACCGAAAGCTCTTCTTAATATTTTTAGTTCAATTTATATATCGTAACAATTTTTGTCTTATTAACTTTAGTGGATACAATTTTTAAACACGTGGCAACCTTTTTTCCAAACAAAATAACTATTAACTTTTAAACAAGATTCGCTAAGTCGTAAAAACTCGTTCTTTTTATTCAATTTTATCAATTAAAATTTAAGCATATGGTAACCCTGCTCCAAAAACAATTTTTCTAACTGCGAGTTTCCAAACAAATAGTAATTATATTTATTAATTTTTTGTTTAAACCATATGAGTATACAAATAAGTGCCAATCATTTATCCAGTTTAGTTCCATCTTTCTTACAGTGGCGCTCTCTTAAAATAAAACCCAAAAGAACGTCATTTACTATCTTGTGCTAATTTCGAGAAAGAAAAACTTTAATTTGATTTAATTTACAGTTTTTTCGAAACCATATGTTGAATATATTTTCAATGTGATAATTTTTTCAGATGAATTTTTTACAGGAAATAATTTTTATAGAAATATATATGTATATAATTTGTACCAAATACATGAGTATGAAAACTACATACGAGTACACTGTATCTAAAAAAAAAAGGTTGACAATAGCAGCGCAAATCTTCTAAGAGCAGCCATTTACGCTCGCGCAGCTATTGAGCGCCACAAAGCGAACGACGCATTCGAAAGAGATACGCCCCAACCTTGCCCTTCACAACTCATAATACATTTCGTTCAATAGGAGAAATTTTCAATGTCAACGCTTGCAATTCTCTTTCCTTCAACCTCGTCACTTTACCAAGCACTTTAAAATAACCCATTATCTAACTCCCTTAATATCATCTGTAATATCATTTGCATTATTTTTTAACGTTTCACTGAACAACTTAACGCTCTATAACTATTATAAAGTAATAATAAGAGAAAATAATTGAGTACCCAACTAATTTTCCGACTAATAATAAACTAATAACCGTTAACTTAGCACGACACTAGTACACGTAATCATACATTTCCACATAGTACGGCCGCGCTGTCGGCTTTGCGAGATACTCCAGCCGTCTTAGATGCTCGCGCCATTGCCGATAGGTCATGCGTCGGCGTGGCGCCACGAACTCGATCGGCGGCTCGGGTATCGGACAATGTTGCCGTAGCGGAGGCACCATGCGCGGCAACGCCAGTCGCAGCATATTCGCAGTCGGTTTATAGTTGAGCGCCGGACGGAAGATGGGAAACCGCAACGTTGACCAGAACTCGGTCTCGTTCTCGAGATGATGAAACCACTTCGGTACTTTGATCGGCTGAAATGGTCGCCCTGGATCTTTTTTGGCTGGCTCTTTCAGCGAAATTTTCGGCGCGTATGGATAGTCGGGCGTTGGTGGAAAAGTGTACTTGTCACGTGGTTCGCGGGGCTCACTAATCTGTGCCGCATGCTCGAGCAGTTCAGCGAGCGTATACGTTTTTTTCTTCTTTTCCTTTTTCTTTTTCTTGCCCTCTTCGGCCTTGGCCGGTGGCTGCTCGGGGCAATGTGGTGGCGGTATTTCACGTGGCATAGCATTCTTTGATGCCCAGCGGTAGAAACGCACCCAATCACGTCGCGTCATTGGACCGCGCTTCTGCCAGCGCGTCACTTCGCGTTTGGGCCGCGGAAAGTCGAAGCTTTTTGGCACGGCATTCCTTTCGACCCAATCGAACCAGCGTGGATGCGGTTTCTCCTCCTCTGCCACCGAATCGGTAGTGGTCTGACGTGTTGCTAGGGACATTTTGAACGATCTTGTTCTTGTTGTAGTATTTGTGCTTAAATATTTTCCTGTTCTTCTATTTACGTTGGAGCATACAAATTTGAATTGGTGTTTTTGCGTCTAAATGTCTTCGGCCGGCGCTTGGCTTGTGGTTTTGAGATTAGGTAATTGGACTACTCTAACAACAACTACTTACGGTAACTGTTGCTGCAGTTGTTGTTATAGCGTACGCAGTTGATGTGATCACACTTGGCGTGATTGTTGTTGTAGATGCGTGCAAATAAGCACAGTTGGCGGCAGCTGCAGGTTCTAAGCTTCAACTTAGCGCGTCTTCGCGTTAAGCTTCTTCCAGTAACTTTTTAGTATAATTCAGAACCGTTAAGTTAATGGTCGCTTATTGCACACAAAATATTGCTGCTTAATTGTTGTTCCGGGTGCTAAAATATTGCTGAGTGGTCTTCTAGGCTGCTTAGTAGTGGGTGATTTGGTGGTTTTAAGCTGCTATTGTAGAATTTTCGGATTTTAAGTAGTTTTACGCCAAAATTTCAGCACAGAAATTTCGAATCGAAAAAACCGCTTTGGTTATTTGTGTTTTGGTTCAAAATTCTATGCGTATGCACAGTTCTAATGCCAATTCTTGTCCTATATTTTTTAAATTTAAAAATAATTTTTTACACTTTTCAAAAACTTTTTGATTTAAAAATGCTAGATTGCGTGTTTTTTTCCAATTATCGAAAACAAATGGGAATTTCTTGTCGGAACAGGAAATGTAATATATGTACTTAATAGCAATTAGTTAGGGATTTTTTCAAAAGGTCTTCACCTTCACTTCACTTTTGGAAAAATATGTACATATTTTTAAACACTGTCTACGAAATTCTCGCTTTGAATGTCAGGCGAGCATTCATCAAAAACTATCTGAGTGGTCGGCAATCATCCGTACTGTTTGGAGGTCAAAATTTTAAGTTAAGAAGAATTAAACAGGGGGTACCGCAGGTTGATGTCCTCTCCTCGGTACTGTTTAACTTCTATATTTCGGTACTCTCTCTACCATCAGAGAGTCGATAGCATAAGTTCGAAAGTAGCCTGACACACTAACCCACTAAATCCATAGCGACCATATTAATGAAATAAACGAAGGAGTACAGACTTAATCTTAATATCACAGTTGGTGGCGTTTTAATTCTGACTGTCAAAAACTCTAAGATTTTAGGCTCTTTACGACCACGTTTAATGCCAAAGTATAGACCTGCAATAAAATCCTAAGGTCGCTATCTATCAGCTCCTGGAGAAGGAACAAAGAAACGTTGTTGGCAACATACAAGGCAATTGGTCGGCCGCTGCACCGATATGGGCGCCTGGATGTAGCAAAACGCAGACGAAGAAGCTTCAGACATATCGGAATACTACACATCGGACTATTACAGGACACCTCTTGATGCTCTAGTCTAACACCTACATAGTGAGGCCTACATGCTTCGGTCAAGGAACACAATTCACTCCTCTCCAAGCAGTTTCTGCTGGGATGATTTCGCAGAAACCGTGGTTGGATTCAAACCACTACCCATAGCGGGGGAAGAGCTCGAGTTTCCCCGATAATCTAGAGTGACTCTTCTTCCTTCCTTCAACTTCCTTCTGGATACTGTAGCAGGTTAAAATCTTACTTATCGTGGATTCTGGATAACCCGACATACCAAATATATGTCTTTCGTGCAATGAGTCTAACCACCTCTTTGCATGCCCAATGAATCCCACTCATCTAACACACCTCTCCATATAGTTCGACCTCAACGAAACCACACGTTTCCTGCACCTCAATCTGCAATCAATGTGAACCATATCACCTAAGCGGTGATTACATAATCGCTACAACAACAACAACATGGTCAAGCTGTTAATTGACATGTTGTAAAACTTTATGTTTTCATTTACCTGATCGATATTAGTTTCTTCGCTTACTGCGGTAGTTTTAGGTACTTTATTGTTATACCTAAAAAACCAGTTGAAAGTATAATATTAACAATTATCAATTTTTATTTCACAGTTTCAATTATAGTTAGATCTCTTATTTTCACACATTGAGCAGGTTTCCATTCATGACTATTTTTTAGTTAGTATGTATAGCAAAGAAGAAAGTCTGAAATTTTAAGCGATTTTAAGATTAACTTTCATTCTATAAACATCTGATAAAAAATATTGCTTACCAAAACCTTATGCCAACCAACCAAGCTACCAAGGGCAAAAAAAACCACCAATTTTGATCCAAAATGACAACGCTGAACAGTACTAGTATCTGTTTGAATAATTTTACGAGAGGCTGTAACTCGCGTTGCCGGTTTTTTCTTTTAAATGCATTTTATTTTAATTATTTCAAGATACGATTGACGAATTTAAGTTATTTCGAACTTTATGTCATATTTTCTCCTAAAACTAGGTAATTGATATTTTGAGTGTAATGCGCCAATATGTAGGCAAAGTTTGCCAGCATATTTAAGAAGAACAATTTTTCTTCCGTAAAATTTTATATTCCGATGTGGTGAGGACTAAATCAAATAAGTTACTGAGTTTGCAAAAGTGTAGTTAAAACTGGGCTTCATAAGAATAAAAAGAAAGGCTGGAGTATTTTTTTATCAGAAAACATGCTGCTTTTTCAAAGTGTTTTTTGACATTTTTTTTACTGCTGATATGCTATTGTTTTTACAATTTTGTTGACACGTGCATATTTATGTAATTTAATTAAACATATAAGGCGTTTTTACACGCAGCGTTGTTATGTTATCTGTTATTCGTTATTCGGTAAACTTTTACATGTATTTTGTAATTGTGAATTTAACAAAATTCCAGCATAACGAATAACACTTTATGGTGCCGGCAACTTTGACAAATTACTCGTTACTTGGTGAAACAGTAATACGGCTATAATTTTGTTAAGTGGCAATGCCTTCAATTAAGCTATTCATCGAATCGTTGTTTCGATTAAATGTTTAATTATTTTCGATTTCGCACATATTTTAGGCATTTTATTCTTTTCGTCTGTAATTTTTATAATCTTTCAATATCAGCAGCATTGAAAAAATTGAACGATTAACAACTAACGTAGTAACAAATTTAACGAACAACAAATAACAATGCTGCGTGTGAAAACATTTATTGAAGTATAATGAACGATATTGAAGTATATAACAGATGAACAAAATACTATTTATCAGATTAGGCTAATTGTTGTTTGGAAGAGTAAAATAGAACTGCAACTAAATACGAAATGCCTTAAACTGCCAGACAATTTCAGCACTATTGTACACTGAAAAAAATGCATTGGCAGTATTTTCTCAGACACACAAAATAATTACTTAAATCATAACTGGCTAGGTAATCGGGCTATCTTGACAGCAAAAAATGCCGAAATTAATTTCGATAATAATATTTTTACTATATTAAACAGCTTACTCAAATATAATTTAATTATACCTTTGCCACAGCAAGGTGTGGCCGGGGTCTTTTAGTAATAAGGATATAAATTAGTTGGCATATTCCACTTCGACCAGTTTCAGTACTTCATATTGAACTTGAAAAACTATAGTCGCAGCCAAAAGAAATATCGAGTGGACCTCTAAGTGTTAAACAGATAATGTAATACAGTAAAAATTAACATTTATTTATTAAATCTTAACACCATCCTGAGGGAATAGAGACTGGTTAAATGCCAAATGGCTAAATGCTAAGCCTCAGTACGCATACACACCACTCTCCCCGACGAAAACTGGCGCACCCTAATACTACTCACCACACCTGACACGGCTCACATTCACGACCAAACTACAGAAGTATGGATACCACCATACACGCGATGACCCACACCACCAGTTAACATAAAGGATGGTCCCCCAAGCAAATTAACTTCATTCGATTACTTAACAAATCCGCCGCGCTACTCATTCCGGATTATTTTTCGTTATCTACCTCAACGATCCTGCGCATCCCTTTTCGCACGGAATGCGATCGAGATGAGTCCTCGCATGACACCGTCATTTCACTGGCCATCAAAGCAGCACGGCTACATTGAACTCATATCAATTTCAATTATTCATGCGTCTAAAGTGTTAATACTCTCAAGGGTGTAAATATCTCAGGCGTGTGGGCTCCTCAATATATTGGATACAAGTTTAGTCAGAGACCATCTTGCCTAGCTTTCAGACGAATGAAACTCAGCATTTTCTGTGATTTTCCGGCTCTATTTTATTGTTAATTCTGACAACTTCGGTTGCTATGACTAGTGGCAAGTTCAATGACTACTGCCGACACGTAAGACTTTAGGAATTGTGAACAAATTGATTAAAACATGTAAAAAGAAGACCATTTAGAAACTAGAATTTTAGATTTAGAATTTTAAGAATTTTACAATCTACAACGTTTTTCGAACATGTCTGAGATCAAAAAATATGCGTAAATATAAAAGTATGGTACGAAATCACCGAAAAAAATGGAAACTTCTTTCAGACATTCATTCACAAACTTCAGGAGTTCAAAAAGAAAATGATTATAATAAAACAAAAACCAAGGGAAGCTAATGTCAATGAGGTACTGACTGGTTAAAGTTCAAGAATACCGATCGTAAGATCGCCATAAACAAATGTAATTATGAAAACACTGATTTTATACTTTGATCGAAATAACATAAACTTGGCAGCTTTCAAAGTTCTTGCAGGAATATAAAGACAATGCGGTATACCTAACAACTGACTGTACTCGAACTAAGTAAGAATCTCTCTAGTTTTACATTTGGTTTTACAGATATCCTTATGGGATATACACACCCCTCAAATAGCATCCTACAAAAGTTCCAAGCCATGCCGATTTCAAAATACGGCACTTCTGATTCAACTTAAAATAAAATTAGATATTTGTTAAAAAAATTGGAAATAATTAACGGAATAAGTTTTATTTTAACAATTTAGATAAATTAAAAATTAAGAAAATAAAATTCAATCAAATTCAATAAAACAATTTTCGATTAAGCTCAAGAATAACGAATATAACAAAGAAACTGGCTAACAAATTAATAAGGGAAAGACATATTTCATACGAAGGTAACACTAATAACGAGTTTTCCGCTTGGAAATGGATACTAAGCGAAAATATGTCACCATTAAAGGCAAAAATAGCAAAAACAACTAAACGAAACAACAAACTCTTCAGAAGAATAAAGCGGCAATGGCAATATCTCAAATGGTCAACGGGAAAACCCACCGAAAAAAACGCACCAAACAAGTCAAGCGGCGTTGGTGGCATCAAATGTTGCAAGTAGCAAGCTGCACGCGGCGGCCAAATGCGGCTGATGTTAATGCGCTGATAGTGGAAATGGCGATGACACTGACATCAGTGTCCACGAAAATTGCCAATTGAAAATTGGAAAACTCCACTGATGCGCTTTCAATGCTATCACGCTTGTTGCTGCCTGCCTGCCGCTGATGCCGCCATCAGCAACGAAACACGCTGTCGATCGGCGATCGCGCCGGATGGATGGATGCTTGCTTGGATGGCTGGGATAAATGCCGACCGGTTGAGTGGAAATGGAAAATAGTGTATGGGTAACGCAGCAATAACGGCAGCTGAGGCCAACTGCTACTAAATATTTTATTGTTGTTGTGATTTGCTGGTGACATCCTCCCCTCAATGTATATATTATTGTGAGCGCTGCTGTTGGCGACAGCCAAATGGAATTGGGTTACGACCTCGAATGCGTGTTGCG